AGAGACATTCAAGACATTCAAGAGCAAGTGAGACTCTCGAGTCTCGAGAAAGGGCCGGACTATGGAACAGGGATTCCCTAGCCACTGGATTCTTAATTTTTCGTGCAGGCGGGCGGGACTGACGGCAAGGGAGAAGGAGGAGAACAGGGACGTGCCATTGGTATCCGTACCATGGGATGGAGGATGGAGTCCTCCGCAGGTATGGATGGACTATGGACAGAAAGAGGGGGGCGTGAAATGAGTGTGCTGGTCCTCACACGGGGTGTTGAGTTGAAAATGAAGTGAACTTGTGAAGTTGGATACCACACCCTGCGGTGCGGCCTGCGGCCTGCGACATGCCCTGCACTTGACTGCAGCCATGGGAGTGGGGAATAGGGAGATTTTCAAGGGTACGTACTTCCCGAAGCCTTACCTAAGGCTTGGTAGGTACGTACCGTCAACTCTGTCCCCCATCTCATGTTGGTAAGGAACCTACTCAAGTACCTTGGTGTAAGGTCAGGTACGGAGCACCGTCCGTCCTCTTCCACCCATGTTGGCTTTGATGAGGTCGAGGTAGGAAGTGGTTACCTGACCTTATTCGCAGCTGCCTGCCTTACCTTCCAATGTCCATTACCTTACCTTAAGTCCATCATACCTACCTTAGCTTAGGTACGTACAAAATACACTAGTGAGGTAGCTTACGCGCGTGCAAGTGCTGTGCGGGTACATTCGGGAACCTCACCCCTCCTTGCCTTCCCACCCCCCTTCAACGTCGAGCTGCTCTTGCGGCTTGCCCCAAGCTTCCCGTCAGGTCCCCTACCTCTGGTGCTTGGGCATATGGGATCACATCAACATCCTTCCTTGCCTCTCACCCTGTCCTTACCTGAGGTGCTCAGGAACCTCACCATGGGAAGTCATCGACGGCTTCTTCCATCACCTAGTTCCTCCTTCTCCCTATCCTTACGCCTAGCCAGTGGCATTTGTAGAAAGAGTGCGAGAGGCAGGCACAGAATCACACAGGGACGGGTCGTCTACAGTCCTCGCCTACCGCCTGAAGACTGCGACTCTGGCGTCGAAGCCACAGCCGAGAATCTGGGCATTCTGGACCACCAGTTTCTGCACCAGACATGTCACCGTCGCTATGAACTTGCACACACACACACATCCTCTCAACTTCGTGGATACCTACCTGATCCCTGGCCCGCTGTCCTCCGTTTGCTTGTTGGCCACGTTTGAAATCCTCCGTTCATGCACCAATCTGTCAGCACTTTTTTTTCGTCCCCCTTCACGGCTTTCCTAAAGAAACCTCACCATCGGAAGCTGCGTGTCTGGATCAGGCCAGGCACACATAGTACACACTCTCTACGTGCTGCGGTAGACGGCGCAAGCAAACATGGCACCCCTGTTCTGCCCAGCTCCGCCAAATGAGAATCGTTTGTTTTTCGGGGCCGTTGTTTGCCTGTCTGCTGTCATTGGCAATGCTATTCAGAGGCACCGACTTGATCGTCGCCATGGGCTTCTGTGTTCGGCATTACCTCAGCCCTGTCGTCTTGAGAACGAACGCTCCTAAATCCAATCCAAAGCCAATCCAAAGCCAACAGAGCAACGCCAAAGAGCTCTTTGCAGGCTAGGAAGGCAAGACACCTATTCGCACACATAAGGCTTCTGCGAACCACGGGATTCGACCATGTCGATGTCGATTCGGGCTGCGGATAATATCGATCACGGCTGCTGAGCGCCTCGTATTGAGCCTCCCACCTCCCGCCTCATTTTAAATGTCCCATATGAGCATCGGGCTGTGTGGCTTGTACCCACCCTACCACCTCACCTCAGAGGTTCACCCGCCATACGGATACAGGCACAGTCAACACCCATGGCGTCCCCGAGCTTTGACAGCTCGCAACAATGCCTTTTTCTCCGTCCGTTTCGAACGTCTCCGTGCTCTCTACACCCGCCAACCCCAGCATGCTATACCGGCTTGGCGCCACCGCAAGGCCGTACTCCCAGTACCCTTCCTGTCGCCCGTAAACAACCGGGCCAGTTTCGGAAGAAAACATCTTTCATTACGATCTGATGACTAGACTGGCATAACAATTACCTTGCGCGCTTGCTCCTGGTTCCTAGCTGGAGCAGGAAACTCGAATTTTCCACAGTCGACGACCGTCGACACCATGAGAAGGATTTGGACATCTCGTCATCATCAACTTTGTCACGACCTATCTGCTTGGTCGAACCTCTATACTCTTCATCAGCGCCCGTGAGGATCTGAGACTCGAATTCTCACTCTCGGCAAATGGACCAATGATTACGTTTACGGCGTTGGCCGCCTACGGCTGGACTGACGATTTGAGAATCCTCACGCTACACAGTCTCCACGACGGATGGGAACGGCGGTTCGGTCGAATGATGGCACCTTAAAAGATGATCCTTTTGCATCGCCAAAACCTCCGAGCTGCAATGACAGGGGGAAAGGAAGGCAGAGACTGCAGTGCTGTGCCTTGTCTTTCGCAACTCAGCATCATAATCGGAACTTCAGGGATGTGCTGCCTCCGGTGGTCCCCGGTGGCCCCCTACTCTCCACCTGGCCCTGCGATCTGTCGGGGTCACGCTGCGATCATGGATCTCAGATTGGCTCTATCACAGAGCCCCATGTGTTTGCCAGCCGGCTCAAGACTCGAGGTGTCCTGACGTCGCAGCGACAGGAGTTGCTCAACTCTTCCGGCCCGCACTCTGGAAAATTACGCGACACGGCCCATCTCGCAGCTGCATCACGATAATACTGGAATCTGACATATCCATCTTTAAGCCATTTTGGTATGTTAACACATGATTAGGCAACTGGAGGCGAACTCAATCTTCTCTCTTTGTTTCCTGGTCTCGGCGACACTCCGAGGGATCTTGCGAGCTTTTTTGTTTCCACGTGCGGCAGCAGTGTTCTGTACCAGCGCCTTTTTTCCGGCCTGCATCGAGTCCTCTACGAATACGCGTTGTTCACGACCATTATTACAGATACGCACGTTTGAAGAATTCAGTGCACGCAAGGAATTTCGCAAACCTGGTCGAGACGATTTGGGGAGTAGCCAACCAACCCACTGCCGCCACCATCGACGGTTATCTTTCGCGGACATGACAGACGATATGAGGCTATGTTGTCTACAGGACGCTAGGCGTGGCAACCGTGCAACTCTGATGACTCGATTTTTCGAGATCCGACAGGTGTGGAGTTGTGTAAGCTCTAGACCGTTGTTTTCATGGACCATTTCGCGACTCCATGCACAATGACAATCTACTGCGGGGGTTGCACAAGAGTCACATATTCAGCACTGGACCTGGCCTTATGCAAGCCATGCAGAGACATTGAGAGTGGTATCGAAAGCAGTTGTGACGCTGGTACTCCGTAGCCACTGCAAAAGTGTTTGGGTGCAATCCACACCCGTTGACGGCACCGCGGCAAAAGCAAGCAAGACGAAACCATGGCATTCAGAAACAGGCTCACTTTGCCATATCCGCTTTGCCGATGAGTCGGATCCAATTAGACTCTGAGACTCAAGAGCCCAGCTTCCCGTTGTCGCTGTTTTCTTGGAGGCTCTTCAGCCACTCAACCACTGAATCAAGTGGATCAAACTCGAGAGAATTTCTTCAATACTGGAAGCATCTGAATGTGCAACCCCTTGACGGATCACATTTCTGCCAGTCACAATGGCAGTCGGTACACTCTCGGTATTTCCTCATCGGGTCAGTCTCAAACAAGGACAAAGTCATTTAGCAGATCCATTTATTCGCTCACAGGCGAACCCTTCCGTGAGACTATGGCTAGTTCTCCTATCCAGACATTGTAGCACCCGCGTGTCAAGGCTCGCATGCGGTTTGTCACATATCACATTCACACTGACCAATCGAGTCTGGAGAGACTTCCGCGGGCTTGGCACACACACTGCTGATGCTGCAATACGACTTAGGACTTCACCTGCGACCTTCATTCTGCTGGACACTACGGACGTACTGCAGCGTGTAATCGGCCATCCGCACATCTGCATCACGGAACGCGAAAGTGACACACGACTTGATCCACTCAGATGGCTACCAATTACGAGTTACCGACAGATGAATCACTTGGGGGAATGTCCGCTCAGTACGAAGATCATCATCGGGTGGCTTGAATGCTGGTTGACATAATCGAGAACTGCCAAACGTCAATCGCCTAGGTGAGTAGGTGACAACGTCGCCATAACCGATTCGTGGCTTGGATGCACCGATTTCGCGCCACTCATTGGCGCGCACATTTCAAACGATGAGCTACCCTGTCGCCATCGCTATTCTCCTGTCGTGTCCGTGGCCTATGACGAGAAGCGGTACGCATAGTTGCGTAGCTAACGAGGGTTTTCACGCAAGGTTTGACAGGCAACTAGGCAGTGAATGCAACAGTTGACAACTGACTTTTTCGTAGGATATTGCTAGGGTGGTGGGTTCCAGCTAGCTGAGCACAGAAACATCACCGTCTCCTAGGAGTCCAGACCCCACCAACTGCCAGGGTTGTTGCGGATTACTGAACAGCTTTGCATGGCGAAGGAAGACGCTATAGAAAGATGAGTTCAATGAGTGCTACGCACCTCTAGGACTGATTGACCCCCCATCGGATGGAGTATGAATTAGACCTGCAGACCTGGTCGTTATCGTTCTTGTTGAGTCTCGGGCATCAACATCTATTAAATGACAACTTTAGGCTTCCAGCTGACGGCGACGCTCACGGTTCAACAAGCGAATAGCCTGGCAATGCAGTCTCGTCAAGGGACCCATCTCCATCATTTGGCAAGGGCCTCCCGAAACAAGCCTGTCAAGTGAAGCTGGCGATCTGGATGCTGTAACTCTTATCCTTCTCAGAGCTTGAACCCAATCGCTGGGTTCGAAACCCCAGCAAAAGATGCAGAATGCATCACGATCCATACCGTCGGGTATGGAGGCACTGGGCAAACGGTACCACAGCAGGGCAGGGCAGCAAGGTAAGCAGCCAGCAGCCAGCATCACGACGAGCTGAGGTGACCCAGGCAGTACGCCAACCAGAACTGGGTTAGCGAAGCTGCAGGCGTGGGCTCCCGCGATCCGTGCACAGGTCCCAGGACTGTGGTTGAAGGGCGATCCCCCGGCTTGAACCACCCTCGGTGAAATTGGGTGCCCGACATGCTGGCCGGTATCAGGAACGCTTTCCGGAAGGGATAATGGCAATGTGATAGTAAGCAAGGGGCTAGTGGCGGAAACGAGTCGCAGAATCACAATTGAAGAAAACGACAGATCAGATGTGCCTTTCCGGCCTAGTCCAATTCCGAGTGGATGACGAGTTTTTCAGAAAGCTGGAACAGCCATCAAGACTACCAAGTTCCTTGCCATTGACATTTAGAGGTTGCCAAAGACACTCTGGCTTTCCTTTCAATGATCCAACCAACTTTCCAGAGAGACGGAATTGTAGGTGACACTACCTTAGCCACGGGAGCGGCAAGTCATACGGGCAGCGGGCTATATCCCAGGCTGGGAATAGCTGGGCACAGTAAGGAGACCAACCTCCAGCGCCTCCCGAGTTCCAACCAGGTTCCATCGTTGGTGTTGCGCCGGGATCGATTACTATTGAAACTTCGCCCCGTTCGGGCAGCCATCGGAAGAACATTCAAGGCTTCAAGCACGAGGATGCTCAATCGCCCGCCCATAGGCGTGCCGGCACCTAGAAGGACCGACAAACTCTTCTAGCGGCGAAACACCATCCCGCCATAGTTTGGGCTAGATGGTCGGGGAAGGCGATATGCCGATGGGACGAAAAGAATGCCTAGAATGCCGCTTCTTCTCGACCTGATGCAGGTCAGAAGTGCAATACCGTTGCCCTGGCCACCTTGAGAGGGCTCATTTCCCCCTGGAAAGGGTCTCGTTTCAAAACATCGTCATTGCTGATTTATCAGTGACTGACATTGCCAGGGCTTCATTGGAATACTGGACAATTACGGGCGAAATACCCCGGGCTTTCCAGTCCCGAAGCTGATGACAGCAGCTAACTATTTGCCGCCCCCACGACCTGTCAAACGGCCCCCCCCTCCTCCTCCTCCTCCTCCTCCTCCTCCTCCTCCCCTCGTCTTTCTCATATCCTGGTTCGCTGAATTGGCCGCTGCCAAATGTAGTACTGGCGCTGCACAGCACACCAAGCGCACATGTGTGGCTGGTGACAGGTGCTGGCAGCTAGAGTGCTAGGGGAGCGACGAAGTCCCAATTACGATTACATGCCGCTGGGGCTAAGGTTGGGATATCCAACGGACGACTGAAGTCAAAAATTGGGCCAAATAGGCTTAAACTTCGCCGGATCTCACCTTAGCATTCGACTTGGCGGCTGTCAAGCTCAGATTGGCACAGCTCATCATTATCCATCGTCCTAACGACCCGTCCCGCTCTCTGTGGCTGCTGACTTTCACAGACGGCTTCCAACCGACACATCGTACGAAGTGTTCGGCACCAAGCTTTTTCTGCAACAATTTCCTGTCGTGAGGCAGACATTATGCAATGGTGAAGCTTAACAAGAACACCTGAATTTCAGGGGCCTCCAGCGTCCATAATGGGGTATTGTCATTTCCGTTGAGTCCGGTATCTTTTTGAGAGAGCAACCTCGACTGATACACTCTGCATAGTCCGTGAAGCGGTCAGTATTGCAGAAAAAGGACAGGGTTTCGCCAAACTGTGCGACGCTTCGGACGTTACAACAACACGATATGCTACGGCCGAGAACTCGTTGGAATAAGCGCCGCTTCTCAGTATGGAAAAACCTCACCTCGTACTCTCGCGACCATGACCGTAAAAGACAATTTTCTCCAGTGTAATTCATCGCTCCAGGAGGTATTCTCCACTTGGGCTAGGCTCATCCATTGGTATTCCAGCGGATTTTCGTCTCGGGGAGCGCGGCGTTTCCCTGCTTTTCCTGGCGGGTAACTCTGGGGCTCCTGAGCAATGGGCAATTCTCACGACCATTCACACACACCAGGCCTTTTGATGATTTGGACTGGCCTGGCAAGACAAGAAAGGGAAATTGACATTGCACGCCCTCATCTCAGCCTTACAGATAAAGCCATTTGACTAAGCACCAGCAGACGTTGAACCCCTTTGATAGGGGCCGTTTCTCAGACGAATCCGTACAACGAAGTTTGGTCCAGACTGGATTTTACGGAAACGCTCGGCACAAAGCCACAAGTCTGGTCTTTCATGGATATCAGACCTGGACGACGGGTTTTACGCCATATCACACACGCAAGTATCCGTACTCCGGACGGTTACCTCCACTGCAGATGCTAACGAAACTAGAGGTTCCCCAGTACTCTCAGCATCGCGGGGGGGGGGGGGGGTTGTTTGACTGATGCGCTGAAGGCGAACCTTGGCTTGGTTACCGCGCGGCTTTCGGGTTCTACGGGCGGAAGAGGCACAAAATCAGATACCGCCTGGTCTTCCGATGGCGCTCATCCACCCCTCCGTTCTCTCCATCGGCAATCGCGCTGTGTCCCCTTCACCCGCTGATGAGGGACGGTGTGGATGAGGGCAAATTTTCAGCCTTTTGCGATCACATCTCAACTTTTTGAGATTATTTCCCAAATTTCCTACCTAACTTGGTCGGGAGAAGCGCAGGTCATGCCGCATGGATGACAGAATGGGCTTGCTAGGCACCGGGGAAGCAGGGTGCTCGACCCGCTAACCAGGACAGGGCCACTTCGGCTCTTGCAGGCAACGTGGTTCTTCTCCCTGTACAGCTTGGGTTGAGGGAACGGACAAAGAGGCGCGTCATGGCTGAGCCGGACCAATACCTTGGAGCGAACGCTTCCAAGGCTCCTCAGCAACGAAGAAATCCTTACTTTCGCAAGTTGAACTCAACCTGGGCTCATGTCACTTATCAGATGCTGGCCTCAGCTTCCAAGACGACGCATCCACTTTGCATCGCTATCTGACAGGCTCAAATTATCTCGAGAGTCCACAAGAACTTCTCTCTATGGGCCTGATAATGAACGAGATGGACTGCCAGGCGGATCGAGACGCTCAAACAACTTCATCATAATGACCAAAGTCACTTGTCAACCTTCCATCTCGTGGTTCCGCTCTATTTCGAGCCTTTTTGAAACATGGTAATACCGGCACCGCCTTCTAGAGTGGTACGCTCACGGCCGTTGAGGCACCGGTATGCTCCGAAGGCGCCGCGCTGTGATCACAATTGTCAACAAGGTCCCCTGATTTGCATCACTCGAATGACAGCTGGGCGGCTTGTTAGCGAGAGAAGACGCAATGATTGATTGAGGCAAAGAGGCACTGTGGGCCACTTTTACCAGCTTTACCAGCATGCCAGCAAGCCCTGATCAGGGTCCAGGGGCTTGAGACGGGTCTTGACTCTTGGGGGGACGACGGGCAGACCTGAAATCGGTGCATCTGCACGCACCGAAACTTGAACATTCCTGAGCCCATGGCTGCAAGGGGCATCTGAAGGCTCAACTCCGCCGCTCGGCCATTCGCAGACGATGGCAACTTTTCTTCTTCTGATCTCTCCACAGATCGATGGTAGCAGTTCCAGTGGACAGGGAGGGGCTAGGACAGATCACGGGAGTCTCGACTCAAGCACCTCGCCGTATGAAGGTTTGCACGAGGGAATATGGGCAGCCGGTCGGCTTAGGTATTCTCTGACTCTGACTTGGACTCTGACTTGGACTCTGACAGAGAGGCCATTTTCGTGGCGCTTCTTTTTGGCCACAAACGGTCACCTGCCTACGAATCCCAAGACTGTGGCAACCCACACCCTTCCTAGGCCCGCCTCGCCAGATCGCGGCACTGCCGATCTATGAGCTGAGGCTTCAGAGTGGCAGGATTCCAATTCGCGGCCAATGGGAATTAGGGAGCGGTAGAACTCTCTGCACATCACCGAGATCTGATCGACTCGCGCGATGGGCGACATGACGCTAGACCTCTGGAATGTGGCTGCGCAAAATCTCTGGGCTTGGAGGCTGTCAATGCCGATGGTCGCTGCTCCGAGAGCTTATTCACTACGGATATTTCTCACAGACATGATGATTCGTGGGGACGGTATAGCATCAAAAATCAGAATCGGCGGTGGCATCAGTAATCTGGCAGGGGAACAACAGACTCGACTCGCTTTCTCCTCTTGCGAGGCCGCCAAATGAGATGTGATACGGTGTGTGATTATGTTGAGGGGACCTTCGTTCGAGAGGGCGTGAGAGATGATGGTAAGTGATGGTATCCCTGACGAGTCCAAGCAGGAGTTGAGTATCTAGTGTCTGAACACCCACTAACAAAGCAGTCGATATGTGAGATATTTCAATTTTCTATGTGGACAGCCCACGAGTGGTGCGCTGTAGTTTTGGGGGGAAAAGACTTATGGGAGCCGGAAGCCTCGTCCGAAGTACTAGCCGCTGTCGATTGACCGACGTCGAAGGGATAACCTTGTATCAAAGCCGCAGGTCAGCCGACGACATGGACGTATTAGGGTGGGCCAGCCTCATCCAGTCGCGCAAACTGGGCTTGGATGGGAATGTTTCAATCCCAAGCATCACGATGCGATATGCGAAGCCGCCTTTTCGCGCACACATCGCCCGGCCCCACCGGCAGGCATCTGGGAGTGTGATCTACGCACTTTTCCTAACCGAGACCAAGCTGGATCGCCGGGTGCTCGAGGTGACCGGGGGGGAGGGGACGTCCTCAAGAGTTTGAGGGAACCAAACCAGACAAGCTGGGAGCTATGCGACATGGGATCCCTCCCCCCCGGCGTCACAGAAGCCAGGGCCAAACCCGAGTCCAAGCTCCCAGTATCCTGGTCAGTCTAGCGATGGAAGTGGACTGTGGCCCAGATCTCGGCTCTGAAAGCTCTCTTTCGTCTCTTGTCAAGAGTCTGTGGGATGTGTGTGTGTGTGCGCTTTGTGTGGGCAGCGGCACATAGGTGGGGCTCTCTCCGATTATGACAGCCTTTTTGCTTTCTTCCCTCACATTTTCACCCTGTGTGATGCAGGAGAAATGTGAGATGTGACTGAAGGGCTGAGATCTGCCCTGACCAACATTTCGCAAGCTCTTCCATTTTGATCGCGGCCCAGCTTCCCAATCCAGCATCTCTGCGCCGAGCCACTCAGCTCTCTGGGATTCCGCAACGGAGCTTTGTGGTCCTTTG